CTGGCGCTCAGCCCCGCGGGGGGCGTGCTAACTGCCCTCGGGCGGGCTGCGCGGCGGGGTGTAGAGCCCGCGGGTACGCGCTGTCTCTCTCCCGTTTGCCCGAGAAAGCCGGAGAGGCCCCGGGTGCCCTTCCCGGAACACGTAAGGTGGGCCACTAGCAGCTCCAGGTGCAGAGCGGCCTCACGACATCCTGCCTCCGCACCCAGCCTCCATTTTCGAGGATCGTGAGCAGACGGGGCAACGTTCAAGTTTCAAGCTCTAGCTGCAGCTACCAAGCTCGTGAATCTAACCGGCAGCGTAGGCTGTGGCTAGGAGCTGGCTAAAGCTGCTGCCTCACTAACAAGCTGTCCGTGCTGCGCTCGGTTTCGCTAGCTACGTTCCACTGAATGGCATGTAACGTAACATGTTTGGCGGAGGCTGGTACAAAGGCCCAGCAAACAATTAGATGAGAATCTTATGATCAGTTAATTCACCTCTGCTTTATATGTCAAGAGGCACGAGTGACCTTACCAGTCAGTGTCTAGCAGTAGAATATGAAGGCAGTTCCTCAGAAAACATTGCACTGAACTTTCTAGATCATACATGCCAGAGTACATATGGCAACTACTTGCCGCTGTTCTGATGGGCTTTCATGCAGACAGGAGACAATGATTATTTTTCTTACTTGTTAAAGCAGAAATTGGCCTTTACTCAGACCAGTCCCTTCAACATTAAGCATGTAAATTCTGCAAAGCTTGTGGATAACAGATGAAACAAAATACAGATCTCTACCTACAGTAGACAAAACATGAATTAGCAGCCTTGCTGGTCAAAGTAGATCCGTGTGATTCTGTAGCACAGTAAAAGTATTAAGTACTAATAGATTTTAAAAATTACTCTCTAGCTGAACCAGTTGTGAGGAGGGAACTTCATAACATGCCTGATGAGTCCGTATTCATCTACTGCCTAGTAGGAGACAGAGCCTAGTAAGTAACTGTTTTAATGCCAACAACTGATATAACTTTGCTATTCGTGGACTGGAGGTTAACTAACCTGTTGGAACAACTGACTGAACTATCCTTTTCTGCAAGGAATGAAGCATTTTTTTTTAGTTTTGAGGTCTATACCATCCCTAATGTGAACTATCTGCATGCTTGTTCTAGAAGTGGGTTGGGGAAGCGCAAGGCAAAACCCCTTGAATCATCCTTTTGAAGGAATTTTAACAGGCTAATTTCAAACTGCGCCTCTACAAGCTGTGCTTAACCTCTTCTTCCTGAACAGCTGGAAAGATCCCAACAATGAATTCAGGAAGAATCTGAAACTAACAGGAGTGCCTACACTACTTAAATATGGAACAGTAAGTGATTTATTGTATGTTCTGGATCTACAGGCATTCAGATGGGAAACTGGCAGAAGCTTATGGCTATAAATGAATTAGTCATGCATGTTTTCTGATACCCTCTCATTTAAAAAGAGCAGACAATTAGGAACAGCTCTTCTGCTCCCACCCGTGCAGTCTTCGTGGCCCAAACAGTTCCTCAAGAGAGGACCACTCTGCTTTCTTTAGAATGTTGTCTATAATAAACATATAGTAAAGAAAATATGTACACTTAGCATGTAGTGGTTGAGGGGTAGAGAAAATTCTTAGCAGCATATTGTTAGCTTCCTGATTTGCAGCTCCTCAAGTTTTAAAAAATCCAAATGCTGAATTACAGGAGTGAAACAAGGTTATGTGCAGTATACTCTTGATTCGAACACACTACAGCTCAAGTTTTAACTTGTGCATATTATTTAAATTGGCAATTACTTTCTTAGAAATGCCTCTTCCAAGGCCAGAAAACCCTCAGGCATTTTTTACTTATTCTTACCTTGCTTGCTCCATGCCTCCTCCCCCCCCAAAAAAAAAATTGCTGGAGTATGGCTAATGTTAGCATGCACAAATGGCTCTAGTCTAGAACAGGTTTTTGAATTGCTGCTAAAACACCTTAACTTTTCTTTCAGCCTCAGAAGCTGGTTGAAGAAGAATGTTTTAAAGCAGAGCTTGTGCGTATGTTGTTTACTGAAGACTAAATCTTCCAGTAGTCAATCATTTACGAAGATGTTAAACTCAAGTTATTTGCGGTGTCCTTTCAAGGAATCCTTAACCTTTTTTAAACTTTCATGGTTAATTACTTCAGACTAGTCAAGATAAATGTAATTAAATTCTAGGTCCAAACCTTCCACTAAAATCCTGCAACAAAACACTGTATCTTTCCTTTCATGTTTAAATAAACTTGAGTTTGCAAACAGTCCTTTTCAAAAGAGCTGAGCTCATATTATAAACTGAGAGCAGCCTACAATTACTGAAGAGTAAGACTTAACAGTTAAGTTATACCTTTAATAGTGAATAAGGGGGGGGCGGGTAGGAGAAACAGAAAAACCTGCTTATTCTTCCTAGATCTGACTTTACATAGCTACTGAAGCTGTTAAGAGAAATTTTCAGTGCCAGAGGTGTTTAATGGCTTATCTGTTCAGTTTAAGTATGGTAAGCTGAAGGCTGACAGTCCTGGTGTCACTGATCACATGTTAAGGGTTAACAGTTGCAGTACCTGCTCCTACAAGGATACGAAATATAACATGAATGCAGCACGAATACAATCTAAAATATGAAAACTAGATCCCTGACAGCTGCCAAGATCTGTGTTCTGACAATAAAAACTATACAGGAATAAATGGCAAATGCTTCTCTGATACAAAAAAAGGTGTAAACACTTCCAGCAACACAAACTGTTTTCACTACACATAAGGTAGAGAAGCCGAAGAGCAACCACTATTTCACTGGCAGAAAACCAAGATTAAAGCTGACTTTAGTGGAATAGATACAGCTACAGCCTATTTCCTTCTGTTGAGTATCTGCAAAGTTTATTACTACTTATCTCTGCTCCACTCCTGCAGTCCTTGTCTCGTCACACTTTGATTTCTATCTCTAAAACATGCTGTAAGAAAAACTCTGTAAGACCCCCAGCAACAATGATTACCAGGTAAACAGAAATGACAAGTGATAGCTCAGCTCGGTTTCAAGGCAAAAATCCACAATTTAGATTTTGTACAGTATTATCACTTCAACTTTGCTCATCCTGCAGTTGTAAAAAGTAGTATGTGAGGGAGTTCTTAGCCACACTTTGAGACGCATCATTATTCTCCAGGGAAAATGCCTCCTATGAGCAGACTTCTGAGCTACGCTTTGTGTTAGATGATACTTAAATGTCAGTGCCCTCAAAACTATGTTTTGTTTTCAAAATCAAGAGGAACCAATAACTACAGTAAGTAATGCTCTCACAAAATTGTCCATGCCACAAAGTAAATTGCAGAAGTAGATGTTTAATCAGTCTTGTATCTTTAAAAAAGTTGATAAAAGAAAAAAAAAGTCACTTGATAAATCAAAAATCAAATGTACACACACCCAGAGCCAAACCTACAAAAGGGTTCATTCCTGTCTTGTAAATACTTCAACTGACACAAAGTACACCTTGTCATCACTCTTCCAAGCGTTTTTCATTTTACAGAGGCGTTGTTTTGTTGCTGCTGCTCTGCAAGTGCTTGCTGGAGGCGCATTCTTTTTCGTGAATAGTGCTGCCAGTGAAGAATCTGTTGCTCGTCAATAAATTTAGCGCACTGAGCATTTACCAGTTCTTTGCGGAAATGCTCATATTGGAGCAGCTCTAACATATGCAAACATTGAGGATACCTGGATTAAAAATAAACATACTTTAATACAAATTTTTACAAGGTACGCTTATACTGGAGGCTCCAATAATTCTGCAGTTCATTATTTTAGTTTTATTATGGATGTGCTTTACTCAAGTATCGAACCACTTAAGACTGTACCCATTCCACACACTGTAACTTAATAACTTCAGTATTAGGCTAGGAAACAAGAAGTCTTGTAACAGTTTATAAGTGGATATACATGCTTGCTTAGAGTAGCTTTTCTAATGGCTAGATTTTACTAGAACAAATACATAACAACTACAGTATCTGTTTCCAGAGCTCATTTAAAGAACATAACCAAGAACTGTTCTCCCAAAATTTGAAGGATTTTGCACACTCACAAAAATGCAAAGTCATCCTTTGTTTCGTGTAAGCATCAACAATGCAAAATCACTCTTAGAATGTACTTACTGGGCCTAACTGAAATAGTTTTGTACCATAATGTTCAATAGTTTTACTCTAAACAAATGGTAAAGTGCAGATACAGGCTGCAAAAGGAAGATTTCACGCATGACTCATGATTCTGTCTATTCTTGCTACATCTGGACTGTTGGAAACAGGAAAATTTACGTTGCATAGAAACACAGTGGGGAGGACAAAGGTAAGGTTACAGGCAGAAATCAAATACTGACATGCTGCTGTACGGTACATAACAGAAGGTAAACATCAAATCATTAAACTGCAGAAACCTAAGCAATTTAACACTTACTTCAGGTATTTTGCATATTCAGGTTCTTTCCAATAAAGTAAATATTTAAGATAATTTACAAAAGCTTTGTCTTTGAAGTAGCCTCTTTGTGCAAGAACTGAAATGACAAATAAGGAATTGTCAGTTACGGATGCATGAAAAAATCTGCCAGACTTGAAGAGTACGTATTCACAAAACTATACAAAGAGGCACTTTAGTTAAAACTTTATCATTACAATCAAATTTTGATAATTCAAAATGAAAAAAACACAGGGAAAAAATACATTTTATGTCAACATACTAGGCATAATAAACTAGTCTCATCTCCCGTACGATATGTATCTTTCATACAACAGCAAGGAAGAGAACAGCTTTTTGAAACAGGAAATTTTGACTGTAGCCTCAAAACTGGCAGCAAATTCAAGGGAATTCAGTATAGTACCTGAAACTATTATTAACATTAGTAAAATTCTGTTTTCAGATAAAGGAATACTGTTAGCTTGACATTACTTTTTAACTGCAGACTTGAACTTCTTACTTTTTTCTCCACCAGACGCATTTTTTTTTTCATTTCAACCAATAAAACATTTTGCATTTTAAAAAACCCACCTGCTAGAAATCTAGACAAATTAAATTATTTAGAGACTACCTTTATGCTGTGAAAAACCCATTCCCTTTTCTTTGTTTAGCCCTCTCTCTCCCTGTCTAACATTACCAGTAATAATAAACACCATTAAACTATATTCATTCCTCAGGATCCTGATATTTACTTTTAAATACTCACAGTTGAGGTAATTTGGATTTGCCAGACATTGAACAAACTCTAACTCCAGCTGGAATCGAAGTCGATTTCCTGTATCATCTGATACACAAGAAAAACAGTAATAATTGGACCCGCACAGTAGATTTGAAAGTAATTTTCTCAGTTTGACTCATACAAATAGAGATATGTTTAAACAGGAGAAAAAGCAGTCACTCCCCATAATAAATACGGATTCATTTAGCAAAGCCTTCATTACATCAATCAGTGTTGGGCCTGCATTAATAAACATGCTGGGGGTTTTTTGGTTGTTTTTTTTTTTTCACAGCCAAGCAAGTGCAAAGAATGGAGGAATGCCCACTGACACTTTATTTAGAGTGAAGGAAAAGGGACGACCAAGAAGCCTGGAATATTTGTACAGGGAAAATTAAGAAGGTAAGAATAGGGAACTGTGAACAGCCCACTGAAATCTTAGTTGTACATATTTTTAAAAGTGGTGCAAGGCAGCATTTTTTTTTTGCAGAAAGATATCTTGCTATAGTACACTAGTGAGAATACTGCAATGTTCTCACAGCACAACGTACACCAATCAGTAGTTGTATACTGTTGGGGTTGATACAGGATCCAGTGCTGTTTGACATCTTTATTAATAACCTAGATGATGTGATAGACTGCATGCGCAGCAAGTTTGTAGATTACATAAAACTGGGAGGAGTGGCTGAAACACAGGAGGGTTGTGCAGCCATTCAGAGGGACCTCAACGGGCTGGAGGAATGTGCCAACAGGAATCTCATGAAGTTCAACGAAGTGAAATTCAAAGTCCTGCACCTGGGGAGGAATAACCCCATGCAACAGTACAGGCTGGGGACCAACCTTCTGAAAAGCAGCTTTGCAGAAAAGGACCTGGGGTCTTGGTGGACAAGTTGATATGACCTGCAAGTGAGCTGTTGCAGCAAAGAAGCTCAAGAGCATCCTGGGCTGCATTAGGAAAAGCATTGCCAACAGGTCAAGGGAGGTGATCCTTCCCCTCTAGTCAGCACTGGTGGGACCTCATCTGGTGTGCTGCATCCAATTATGGGCTCCCCAGGAAAAGACAGACATGGATATACAGGAGCAAGTCCAGCGAAGGGACACAAAGATAATTAAGGGACTGAAGCTTCTGACATACAAAGAGAGGCTGAGAGAGCTGGGACTGTTCAGCTTTGAGAACAGAAGGCTCAGGGATGATCTTATCAATGTGTATAAACACGTGATGTGAGGGAATGAAGACAGAATCAAACTCTTCTCAGTGGTGCCCAGAGAAAAGACAAAAGGGAACGGGCACAAACTGAAATACAGGAAGTTCCTTTTAAACATAAGTTTGGGGTTTTGTGGGTTGGTTGTTTGTTTTTTTTTTACTGTGAAGGTGATAGGAACATACTGCCCAGAGAGGCTGTGGAATCTCCATCCTTGGAGATACTGAAGACCTGACTAGACAAGGTCCTGAGCAATCTGGTCTAGCTGACCCTGCTTTGAGCAGGGGGTTGGACTAGATCTCCAAAGGTTCCTTTGAACATGAACTATTCTGAAATTCTGCCAAACAGTCCCATCTTGAAAGGTGAAATGTGGAAGAACAGACTACTTACTTGAACCCAATACCAAATCAAAGCTGGGTACTGACAGTTTTTGCCTCTTTAGCAGTGGTCATAAGAAATTCACTTAATTTCTATATTTATGCCCATAACTATGTGAGCTGGGGGCTACCATACCAAAAGAGAGGAATAAACAATCAACTGACTTTCTTATTTTTAGAATCACTCCATCAAAGTATCTTCATTTTAAATTTTTTCAGTGTCACTGTATTCTAGAAAAATTTCTCTCTTCTCTATTGGTGTAAACCATGTTATTTGATCCAGGTTGGTTATTACAGATTTTCCCTCACCTGTTTTCACCATATCACCTATATTTGTATTAATTTTGAAAACTATTAAATATTTCATTGAGAACATAAGCTCTAGGGGATCCTGACAGGAAAAAAAAAATCCATGTAAATGATGATTCTACATTTAAAATTATTTTTTACAAACTACTAAACAGTCATTTTTTAGTCTGTT